TTGGGGCGAGGGGACGCTCCAGAAGCTTGGGCAGGAGGCGGAGGTGATGGCGGAGTGGGGAGCCGGGAGTCAGTCGGCGCAGCTTAGACAGCGTTTGATGGCACATTACATTTGGTGACCAAACCAAACCAAACTCCTTGCCGTCTAGTCGATTCCACTCACAGCGACCCTCTAGGACAGAGTAGAACCGCCCCATAGGGTTTCCAAGGAGCGGCTGGTGGATTCGAACTGCCGACCTTTTGGTTAGCAGCCGCGCTCTTAACCACTGCACCACCAGGGCTCCTACATTAGATGAGGAGGAGTAAAAGTAAGGAAGATTCTGAGCCTGAGTGATTAGGAGAAAGGACGTGTCATTATATGAAGTTCCTACATTGGGGAAATTCTGCTCTGTATAGATAGAGGAGCAGTTTTTGGCCTTTTGCGGGGAGAAGGGGCGGTGGGGGTGGGATCAAGGTTGCTTTGAAACCTTCCCTGTAAGGATGTGAATGAGCACACATAAATGGTGCTGTCATCCCAGCAGCCATCCAACCACAGCCTCCACAAACTGCATGGGATAGTGGTGGGGGGTGGGGGGTGGGGGGCGCAGCAGTCAGTATCACTCAGAAACTTGTTATTGTTGTTGAAAGTACACACAGCAAAACACACCAATTCAACCATTTCTGCATGTACAATTCAGTGACGTGGATGACATTCTTCAAGTTGTGCAACCATTCTCACCCTCCTTTTCTAAATTGTTCTTCATACACGTGAAGTCACTGCCTCCCAAGTTTCTTATCTTGTCTTTCCTTGCTGTTGTCAGTTTGACTCCATATACATAGTTCTTCAAAAGGGCTTGATGCTCAGGGCAAACATTCTTTTCTAAATGAGCTAAACTATTGTTTGGTTTAAAGACTTCCTAGGATATTTTTGGTTTAAGATCTAAATATTATCTCAGGGCAATATTTTCAGGGATTCATCCATCCTCAATGACTCCAGAAAGTCTGGATTCTGTTAAAATTTGGAATTCTGTTCCACAGTCCCCCCCCTTTTGATCTGGATTCGTCTATAGACTCTTTTATTAAAATGTTCAGTAACGGTAGCAGGGCACTATCCAGTTCTGGTCTCATGGAAAGGAGGCAGTTGTTCATGGATCACCCAGGAATTTTGACTTCACCTGTGCCCTAGCCACTGTTAAGGACCCCTAGTAAATTTGCCACTATTCCTGTTCTACAGATGAAACCAGCCCAAGAGAGTAAGGGACCGGCCCTGTGTGCTGAGGACTCCAATGTTGGTGCTGGTGGATTTGAGGGTATTTCTCTCCCATATGTATGAAGATGATGCTGTGGATCCACCGTCAGCTGCCAGGCAAGGTTCCTGGCTTTCAGAACCTCATCAGTTAGAAACTGGACCCTGTATTAGCTTTCTATTGCCGCCAGAACAAATTACCAGAGACGGGCTGCAAACAACAGGCACTTGTTATCTTGCGGCTCTGCAGTTCAGAAGTCCAAAATGAGCCTCACTGGGCTCAGATTAAGGTGTGAGCAGGGCTCTGCTCTTTCGGGAGGCTCTGGGGGGAATCCACTTCCTTGCTTTTTCCAGGTGGCACAGTGGTTAAGCACTTGGCTGCTAACCAAGCGGATAGCAGTTCCAACCCACCAGAGGCTCTGGGAGAAAAGACTTGGTGATCTGCTCCCAGAAAGTTTATAGCCTAGGAAACCCTATGGGGCAGTTTTATCCTTTCCTATAAGGTCGCCATGAGTCAGAATGGACTCAATGGCACACAACAACAACAGTGGCCGCCCACATTCCTTGGCTCATGCCCCCCCCCCCCATTTTCAAAGTGAGCAACATTGCATCTCTGCCTCTACTTCCATTGTCCATCTCTGGTTCTCTTGTGCCTCCCTCTTCTACATTTTTTTTAAATTGCATTTTTTAAAACATTTTATTGTCTTAGGTGAAAGTTTACACAGCGAACTAGTTTCCCATTCAACAATTTATACAGAGATTGTTGATTGACATGGATCGCTGTCCCTGCAGTGTGTCAGCGCTGTCCCTGTTTCCACCCGACCTTCCCCGTTTCCATCCCTCGAGTTTCCCTGCCCCTCCTGGCCTTCTCATCTTTGCTTTTGGGCAGACCTGCCCATTTGGTCTCCTATAGTTGATTGTTCTAAGGAGCACATTCCTCGCGGATGTTATTGTTTATTTTACAGGCCAGTCTATTGTTTGGCTGAAAGGTGACCTCCAGGAGTGGCTTCAGTTCCAGGTTAAAAGAGCATCTTAGGGCGATAGTCTCGGGGGTTCCTCCAGTCTCTATTAGTCCAGTGATTCTGGTCTTTTTATGAATTTTACTTTTGTTCCACATGTTTCTCCCATTCTCACCGGGACCTTCTATTGTGTCCCTGGTCAGAGCGGTTCGCAGTGGGGCATCACCTGGTTCTTCTGGTCTCCGGCTAGAGGAGGCTGCAGTGTGTGTGGGCCGTAGGTCCTGTGGACTCATTCTTCCTTGCGTCTTTGGGTTCCTTCACTCTCCTTTCCTCCAGATGGGAAGAGACCAGCAGTTGTATCTTAGATGGGCCCTTGTAAGCTTTTAAGACCCCAGAAGCCACTCACCAAACTAGGATGTAGAACATTATCTTTATGAACTATGTCATGCCCGTTGACCTAGATGTTCCCCAAGACTATGTGCTTAGACTCCAAGCCCAGTAACTCAGGCCCATGAGGTGTTTGGTTATGTCTAAGACGTTTCCATAACTGTGCCCCCATGTGCTCTATTATATACGTGAATATATATGCAGCACGTACAAATATGTATATGCAGATGCCCACACCCGTACCTATATGTGCACACACGTACTCCCATAGGCCCTCCCACACGTATATAGCATACATGTCTACCTATGTAACCATTCACAAATTTTTGGGAGCCCTGGTGTCATAGTGGTTAAGAGTTCAGCTGCTAACCAAAAGATCGGCAGTTCAAATCCACCAGCCGCTCCTTGGAAACCCTGTATTTAAAAAAAAAAAAAAAACCCGGCTGTCAAGTTGATTCTGACTCATAGCAACCCTATAGGACAGAGTAGAACTGCCAAATAGGGTTTCCAAGGAGCAGCTGGTAGATTCCAACTGCCAACCTTTTTGTTAGCAGCTATAGCTCTTAACCACTGCACCACCATAGGATTTCCAGGGCTATAAATCTTTATAGAAGCAGATTGCCGCATCTTTCTCCCGCAGAGCCGCTGGTGGGTTAGAACCTCCAACCAGCCACCAGGGCTCCAGTCTCCTGATGAGCAACCTTAGTTCCATCTGCAGCCTTAATCCCTCTTTGCCATGTAAGATGACATATTCACGGGTTCCAGGGATTAGGATGTGGACATCATTGGGGGGTATTATTCTGCCTCCCACCTACCTGATGATGACTGAGCGGCTCCTGCCTGTTTTTAACAGTGTGTGCCTCTTCAGCTTGGGTTTGCACTGAGCCATCTTTATGCCTCTGATCTCCTTAGTAGTGACCGACAAGGCAGAAGCTCCAAGGTTCGGGGCCTGTTAGTCATTGAGATCTCAATGAATAAGCAAACCTGGGGCCTTAATGCAGGCTTATGATCATTACAGTCAATGACTGCATACCTGGGGCTTTAGTGCACACACATGATCATACAACGAATGACTGCACATACCTGGGGCTTTAATGCACACACATGATCATACAATCAATGACTGCATACCTGGGGCTTTAGTGCACACACGTGATCATACAACCAATGACTGCACATACCTGGGGCTTTAATGCACACACATGATCATACAATCAATGACTGCATACCTGGGCTTTAGTGCACACATATGATCATACAATCACTGTGCATACCTGGGGGCTTTACTGCACACGTCTGATCATACAACCAATGACTGCACATACCTGGGGCTTTAATGCACACATATGATGATACAATCAATGACTGCATACCTGGGCTTTAATGCACACTCCTGATCATACAATCAATGACTGGGCATATCTTGGGCTTCAATGCACACACATGATCATACAACCAATGACTGCGCATACCTGGGGCTTCAATGCACATGTGATCATACAATCACTGACTGTGCATACCTGGGGCTTTAATGCACACGTCTGATCATAGAATCACTGACTATGCATGGCTCCGTCATGCCCCCTCCCGTCCTGAAGTGAGTTCACCAGGCGTGGGGCCTGGGAGCCCCTACTTGCCTGGCTGTTTTAGGAAGACATAGAGCACCTGAACTGCTCAGCCTGTTTTCAGAAACCAGATACAGAAGGCCAGATTTAGTTCCTGGTCCCACAAATGGGTACACTTTTTCTGAGCATTAGACTAACAGAAAAATTACCATGTGAGTAAATGTGTCTTACTCTTAAAGAGGTTAATATTTTTCCGTAATAAAATTAGTTCATGCAAAAAGATAAACGATTTGATCAAATAATAGAAAATTAGGAAGACTGAGAGTTCCCATCTCCACTGCTGGTAGCGTTCTGGTGAAGTGCGCGCTAGCTGACTTGAGTGCACTGTAATTTGAAAAGTCCCTGAGTGGTGCCGTTTGCTCTTGGCTACAAACCTAAAGGTTGGTGGTTTGAACCCACCCAGGGGTACCGTGGAAGAAAGGCCTGGCGATCTGCTCCCGTAAAGATTGCAGCCAAGAAAACCCTATGGAAACAGCCCCACACTTGGTGTCTACAAGGCTCTGGATTTACAGTAACTCACAGTAATTAGTACATTAGTCACCGCAGCACCCTCTGAGAGAGGCTTTTATTTTGCACACCTCACAGGTGGGGAAAGTGAGGCTCAGGTAGGGAAGGGATGTAGGAAAGCTGCCGCCGGGAGAGGCGCTGGCAGAGCAGAAACCCCCGCCGGGTTCTCTAGCTCCAGTGGATCCGTCCCCAGCCTCGACCCCATCTGCCCAGCCTCGATCCTCCATCCACCCCCAAGCCCCAGACCTATGGGCCTCCACTGACTGGGATTTTGCCTCCTCCATAGGAAGGAGCCGCTGGACTCCCAGGGTTGGGCCAGGCAGGAGGAGGAGGCGCTAACATCCATCGCCGGCCTGGGCGTGGCCTGTGGGCAGCCCTGCACCGGGATGCCCCTGCCCGAGCCCAGCGAGCAGGAAGGCGAGAGCGTGCGGGCCGGCCAGGAGCCCGCCCGAGAGCCCGGCACGGACGTCATCCCTGCGGCCCCCAGGATACCCAAGAAGTTCTCCAAGCTCGTCCTGCTCACAGCCTCCAAAGACAGCGCCAAAGTGGCCGGGACCAAGCGCAAAGGGGTGCACTGCATCATGTCCCTGGGTATGCCGGGCCCCGCCACCCTTGCCAAGGCCCTCCTGAAGATCCACCCCGAGGCCCAGCGGGCGATCGAGGCGGCCGCCCAGGAGCCTGAGCAGAAGCGCAGCAGGCTGAACACAGGTGAGGGTGCGGCGGGCCGCCCCTAGGGCCATGGTGCCTTTGGAGCCAGTGCGCACGGCTAGACGTGGACGGCTAACTAGCGAACAGTCTCTCGCGGGCCTCACCTGGACCGCCCCGCCCTCCCTTACCTCTGCCCGACTGTCCTCCACGGAGCCTCCAGGACAGACAGCTCTGGGTGGCAGCGACGGCTACAGCTGGCTATAGGGGGAGGGGAGGGGGGATGGCGGTTGGGGTGGTCTTCGCAGGCCGTCGGGGGGTGGGGGTGGGGGTTTGACAGCCCAAGCTCACTGCACTCTTCTGTGGTTTCGGAGTGGCTTTGTGAGGACAGATGGAACAGGTGGAGGAACGGTAGCCCCACTCCCCAGCCTCTCGGCTCTGCCCCTGCTGTGTGGTGCTTGACGGTTCTCTGAGCCACACGTTGGGCGGAGGAATCCGGGAGGGGGACAGGATCAGTGCCTGGGGACTCACAGACCAGGGATCCCGCCGCCCGCAGAAGGCACAGCTCACACGCTGGGTGATTCTTGAAGACCAGTCCCACTCCAGTGCCCCCTGGGTTCCTCCTGCCACCGGTGGGGTGGGGGATGGAGGACGCTGTCCCCACTGACCTGTGGACAGGCCGTGCTCAAGAGGCCAAGTCACCTCCCTGGGGCCACCAGCCAGTCCCCTGCAGAGGGAGGAGGGGGTTGGGGTGTACCTCAGAGCCAGCTCTTCCCACTGAGCTCGGTGGGACGGCGCCATCTCGAGGGTCCCTTCCAGCCCCGTGTGAGACCTCTGCTCACGGATCGGGCCCGCCCAGGCCTGGGCCCTCTTGGGCTCCATCCCACCCCTGAGCCTCTGTGGGAATGAGAATAAAGCCCCCCTTCCTCATATGGAGAGAGGCCCAGGGCAGGTTCGCAGCCCCGCGGGCTCCCCGAGGCCAGCACTCCTGGGCGGTCAACAACCCCCGCTGCCGCCAGCCCTGTCCGCCTCCATACCTTGTCCCCAGGCCTCCGCACCTCCCGCTCAGCCCAGGCCGGGAAGTAGGGATGGCAGCCGCTTCCTAGTGCTCAGCTCAGATTAGTTTTATGGAAATAACTAACGGCCTTGTGTCCCGGGGCTTAGTGGCCTTTCACGTCTGTGTCCCTGGAATCAGCATTACCCCTATCAGGCGGAGGTTTCTTCGCCGGCCCGGCACCGGGGAGACCCCGGGTCCTCCCACCCCCGTTCCTTTGATAGTAGCCTGACCTACCCCCTTCTCTTCCAGATGCGGAAGGGAAAGGTGACGGAAGATTCACCCGGCAGCCGCCCCCTACCCGCGCGGTGGAAGGGGAGGAGTCCGCGCCGTCCCCGGGGCGGGGCAGGGAGAGCGCCGCCGGCAGCACCGCGCGCAGCGCGTCCGCGTAACCCTGACAACGATGCCGCCGGCTCCCCCGCCCCAGCGCGTCTTCGTAACCTTGACAACGGCGCGCCGTCGGCGTCCACGCTCAGTGGGTGAACTCGGGCGAGGGTCATACGAGATCCATAGGGTCTGGGGCCCAGTCACCGACAGATTTTCACTTTCAACGTTGTGTAATTTTTTTTTTTTTTTTTGGATCAAACACAAGTTACTTTTGTAAGCAGCATTTTTTTTTCCCCAAAAAAGATTAAAAGAAACTGTACGCTCTATCCCATCATGGACAGTTTAAATTCCAGGATTCTGGGTCCTCTTGGGCCGAGCTCCAACCCCACTACCCGGGGGGCCCTCCCCACCCTAGCTGGCCCTCCCCACCTGGCCCTCACCTGGTCCTTCCGCCTCCACCTGCTTCTCCACACGTGGTCCTCATTCTCTGAAAACTTCCACTGGGCGCAAGAGCATGAATTATTTTCACAATTTAGAGTCTGGGGGCCTTATGTTTTCAAACATTATTTTTCAAGGTTAACCAGTACCAACAGACCCCCTGTTAGGAAAGGTTAGTTCCTCGGCACGTTTTCTCTCAGCCCTCACTGTTCCTATATTATTTTTAATGTGTCCCTGTTGGAACATTTATGTTGTCTTCTGTAACCGTAATATGGAAAGTTATTTTGTCTCAGTTGTGTATAAACAGAGACCACGTTCCCCACCGCGGTCTCTCCTTCCTGCGTGTTCTGACTCGTGGCTCTTGGTGGGCTGGATTTTGTCGTGAGGCAAGAACGCCCAGGAGGAGCTCAGGGCTTAAGGGCTGACTGCAGGGCTGAGGAAGCTGTGACTTTAGGCTCAGCACATGCCTGGTCTCCTGGGGCGTCTCCGGACAGTCCCGCCTGAGTGGGTAACAGAGGACTGATCGTTCAGAAGCCACGGGGCAGGGTTGCCCATGGGGCATCCACTCCCCCATAATTTGCTCTGCCACGATCCATCCCCTCCGACTGCAGCCAGGGAAGTCAGAGCCGCAGGCCACAGGGCAGCCTTGGGGGTGGACCAAGGAGCTCCAGGGTTAGGGCAGGCACTCTGGGTCGTGGCCCCCAGGGAGGGGGACCTGGTCTACTCTGTGGCGCTGGAGGCTGAGTAGGGATGAAGCAAGGGTGGGAACTCCCTCCTGGGATTTGAGTGGGTGGCTGGTGCCTGGTGATGTTCCTGGAGGGTCCCCAGCCAAGCCAGGAGCCCATGGGTCTGGCCCAGCCAACATGACTACTCTTTACTCATTATTTGAAGTATTTCAAACTCACCGAACAGTTGGAGCGGTGCAATGGACACTGTGTGGCCCTGCCTAGATTCCGACGGGTCAACGTCTGGCCCTTCTCTTCTCCCTTTCTCTTGTACTCTCCCCTTTTGCCTAATTTCCTAATGCGGACTGCAGATAACCTGACTGGTTACCCTGAAATTCTTGGTCTGCACCCACCCCCTGGAACCACATGCCTAAAAGGATCACCACTGATGCAGTGACATCATTCAGCACCCAGGCCACACCCATCAGTCCCAGCGGGGGTCAGACAGAAATGGCCCTTCCTCTCCCAGCCAGGACATCTCTTTGTCTATTCCTCTGATCTGGGAGACGTTGGATCCCTTGGACAGTCCCAACCAATGTCCCTTGTGCCGCATGCATTAGATTCTGGGTGGGGGCATTATGTTTTTGTTGTCAGGTGTCATCGAGCTGGTTCTCACAGCCGCCCCACGTACAACAGAACGAAACACTGCCCCATCCGGCACCATCCTCACAATCATCGCCATGTTCGAGCCCATTGTTGCAGCCACTCTGTCAGTCCACCCCGCTGAGGGTCTTCCTCTTTTTCCCTGACCCTCTACCTTACCGAGCGTGATGTCCTCCAGGGACTGGTCCCTCCTGATAACATGTCCAAAGTCCGTGAGATGAAGTCTCGCCATCCTCGCTTGTAAGGAGCATTCTGGCCGTACTTCTTCCAAGACAGATTTGTTTGTTCTTCTGGCCGTCCATGGTATATTCAATATTCTTTGCCAACATCATAATTCAAAGGCACCAATTCTTCTTTGGTCTTCCTTATTCATTGTCCAACTTTGGCGTGTATATGAGGTGACGGAAAATACCATGGCTTGAGTCAGAGCCCTGGTAGCGTAGCGGTTAAGAGCTCGGCTGCTAACCAGATGTTGGCACTTCGAATCTACCAGCCGCTCCTTGGAAACCCTATGAGAGAGCTCTCTTCTGTCCTATAGGGTCGCTATGAGTCGGAATCGACTCGATGGCAATGGGTTTTTTGAGTCAGGTGCACCTTAGTCCTCAAAGTGACATCTTTGCTTTTTAACACTTTAAAGAGATCTTTTGCAGCAGATTTGCCCAATGCCATACGCCATTTGATTTATCGACAGTTTGCTTCCATGGGTGTTGATTATGGATTCAAGTAAAATGAAATCCTTGACAACTTCAATATTTTCTCCATTTATCATAATGTTGCTTATTGGTCCAGTTATGAGGATTTTTGTTTTCTGTATGTTGAGGTGTAATCCATACCAAAGGCTGTAGTCTTCGCTCTTCATCAGTACATGCTTCAAGTCCCCTTCACTTTCAGCAAGCAAAGTTGTATCATTTGCATATCGAGGGTTGTTAATGAGTCTTCCTCCAATCCTGATGCCCCCTTCTTCTTCATATAGTCCAGCTTCTCAGATTATTAGCTCAGCATACAGATTGAATAAGTATAGTGAAAGGATACAACCCTGACACACACACCTTTCATGATTTTAAACTACACACTGTCCCCTCGTGCTGTTTGGACTACTGCCTCTTGGTCTATGTACAGGTTCCTAATGACACAATTAAGTGTTCTGGAATTCCCGTTCTTCACAATATTATGCATAATTTGATAACACAATTATGATCCACACAGTCGAATGCCTTTGCATAGTCGATAAAACACAGATAAACATCTTTCTGGTATTCTCTGCTTTTAGCTAGGATCCATCTGACATCAGCAATGATATCGCTGGTTCCACATCCTCTTCTGAATCCGGCTTGAATTTCTGGCAATTCCTTGTCGATGTACTGCTACAATGTTTTTTTAATAATCTTCAGCAGGACTTTACTTGTGTGTGATATTAATGATATTGTTCAATAATTTCCATATTCTGTTGGATTACCTTTCTTTAGAATGGGCACAAATACCGATCTCTTCCAGTCAGTTGGCCAGGTAGCTGTCTTCCAAATTTCTTGGCATAGACGAATGAGCGCTTCCGGCATTGCAACCATTTGTTGAAACATCTCATTTGGCAGTCCATCGATTCTTGGAGCCTTGTTTTTTTTTGCCCATGCCTTCAGAGCAGCTTGGACTTCTTCCTTCAGTACCATCGGTTCTTGATCATATGCTACCTCCTGAAATGGTTGAATATCAGCCAATTCGTTTTGGTACAGTGACTCTGTGTGTTCCTTCCATCTGCTTTTGATGCTTCCTGGGTTACCGGATATTTTTTTGCATAGAATCTTTCAATATTGCAACTCGAGGCTTGCACATTTTTTCCTTCAGTTCTTTCAGCTTGAGAAATGCTGAGCATGTTCTTCCCTTTTGGTTTTCTAACTGCAGGTCTTTGCACATGTCATTATAATACTTTACTTTGTCTTCTGGAGCCACCCTTTGAAATCTTCTGTTCAGCTCTTTTACTTCATCATTTCTTTCATTCATTTTAGCTACTCTATGTTCCAGAGCAAGTTTCAGAGTCTCTTCTGGCATCCATTTTGGTCTTTTCTTTCTTGTCTTCTTAATGACCTTTTGCTTTCTTCATGTATGGTGTCCTTGATGTTCAATGCATCAAATCTATTCTTGAGAGGGTCTCTAAGTTCAGGTTGGATATACTCAAGGTCGTACTTTGGCTCTAGTGGAGTTGTTTTAATTTTCTTCAGCTTCAACTTGAACTTGCATATGAGCAATTGATGGTCTGTTCCGCAGTTAGCCCCTGGCCTTGTTCTGACTGATGATATTGAGCTTCTCCATTGTTTCCACAGATGTAGTCGATTTGATTCCTGTGTATTGCATCTGGTGAAGTCCACGTGTATAGTCACTGTTTATGTTGTTGAGAAAAAGGTATTTGCAATGAAGAAGTCCTTGGTCTTGCAAAATTCTATCATGTGATCTCCTGCATCGTTTCTATCATCAAGGCCATATTTCCCAACTACTAATCCTTCTTTGTTTCCAACTTTCACATTCCAATCACAAGTAATTACCAATGCGTGTTGATTGCATGTTTGATCAATTTCAGACTCCAGAAGTTGATAAAAATCTTTAATTTCCTCATCTTTGGCATTAGTGGTTGGTGCATAAATTTGAATAATAATCGTATTAACTGGTCTTCCTTGTAGGCATATGGATATTATCCTATCACTGACAGCCCTGTACTTCAGGACAGATCTTGAAATGTTATTTTTGACAATGAATGCAAGGCTATTCCTCTTCAATCTGTCATTCCCAGCAGAGTAGACCATATGATTGTCTGATTCAAAATGGCCAGTACCAGTCCATTTCGGCTCTCTAAAAAACAAACCCGTTGCCGTGGAGTTAATTCCGACTCATACAGACCCTACAGGACAAAGTACAACTGGCCTGTAGGGTTTCCAGGGAGTGGCTGGTGGATTCAAACTGGTAACCTTTTGGTTAGCAGCTGAGCTCTTAACGATTGTGCCACCAGGGCTCCTTCTGCTCACAGGTGTGTGCGATATCGATCCTTATGCAATCCATTTCATTTCTGACAACTTCCAATTTTCCTAGATTCATACTTCATACATTCCATGTTCCGATTATTAACGGATGTTTGCAGCTGTTTCTTCTCATTTTGAGACATGCTACATCAGCAAATGAAGCTCCCAAAAGCTTTACTCCAACCACGTCATTAAGGTCAACTCTACTTTGAGGAGACAGCTCTTCCCCGGTTGTATTTTGTACGTCTTCCGCCTTCCAATCTGAGGGGCTCATCTGCCAGCATTCTATCAGACGATGTTCCACTGCTAGTCATCAACTTCACTGGCCAGTTTTTCAGAAGTAGATCACCAAGTCCTCTTCCTGGCCTTAGTCTGGAAGCTCTGCGGAAACCTGTCCACCCTGGATGACCCTGCTGGTATGTGAAATACCGATGGCATAGCTTCCAGCAACACAGCAACACAAAAGTCACCACAGTACACAAACTCACAGACAAGTGGTGGAGTAATTATGATGTGATAAGAAGTAAATACTGAGACTGCAAACTCCCTTTTAAACAATAACTTTGATTGGTCTTCAAGCCAAAAAAAAAAAAAGAGGTAATTTGCAGTCACTGAAGGAAAAAAATACTGATTACTGTATAAAAATATATAATTACAAGTATCACCAGTAATCCTGCCATCTAGACATAAGTCTATAATACATTTTTTTAATTTAAAAAAACTGTGATTGGGATGAAATGGTTCATATTCTTTCTTAATATATTACAAATATCTTTCTATCATATTAATACCCTACGTCATCCTTTTTACTGGCTGCATAATATTCCACTACAGGGGTGGGTGACCATTTATCCAACCAACTCTGACTGCTCCTTAGATGCGGTCGTTTCTAGGGTTTTCGCTGTCATAAACAACAATCCTTCAAACCACCTTCTGTTTTCCTGGGATAAAGCTCTTAAACTGGAACTGCTGCACGCGGGGGGACATACTGCTGCGACAACTTTCCCTCCTCAGCGAGCAAGAGTGAAACCCCGCGGAAGTCCAGCGGTCTCAGTTGAGCCCTCCACCTTGCGCGTTGAGCTGCGCCGCCCAGGACCCGAGTCCAAGCCGCAGGGGGGGCCGACGCTCCGCCCCTGCACGGCACCGCCCAATCCCGGGATGGCCCGCCCCTTTCGCGAGTCCGGGCCTCGCTCCCCGCGCAGTTGCCGCGGCTCAGCGCCGCGCAGGGAAGACCCGGAGAGTGGAGTTGACCTGCGGAATCGGGCCCGCAGCCCTGCTGCGCATGCTCGCACAGAGCCTGCTTGGGCGTTCGGAGCGGCCGGCTCCCCCCCGCGGGTCACGCGCGCTCCAGGCGGCCATCGGGGCGGCGCGCGCGGGCACGAGGCTCGCTCCCGGGAAAGGGTGGGGGCAGGGAGCCGGGGTCGTGGTGTCCGGAGGGGCCTGGGCTGCGCGGTCGACGCCTCCAGCTGCAGCGGCCGAGAGCCCCGCCGCGGCTCCGTCGCCGGAGAGACAGGGCCCCGCTGCCGTCGCCGCCCGGCCGGTGCCCGGTGAGGACGGGCCCCAGTGGGTGGGGGAAGTCCCAGGACCCGCGGCGTGGACGCGCCCCCGGCCAGGCTCTCCCGGGGGTCCCACAAGGCTGCTGGTGGGGTGGCGGGGGGGGGGCCCGGCTCTGCGTCCCGATCCTCAGGTCGTCCCCTTGTCCTTCACCGCCGCTTGCCTCCTTTCTCCCCGCCTCTTCTTCCCCCCAGGCCACCGACCCAGAACCCCACCACCCCTGGGGACTCTCCCCATTCGCACCTGGCCCCGACACCCCCAAATCAGGCAGCCCCACATTCGCCCGCCTTCCCGACCGTGTGCGCCCTTCCTTCCTGCCCCCACCCCACCCGGGCCCACCTTTGTGCTTGGAGGTCTCTGTGACCTTGCGTGTTTTGCTGGTTGGTACACCCCCTCCTGCAACGTCTGCTTGTGTAGATTACAGTTACGGCTTTCAAACTTTTCCGACTTATCCAGTGCTGAACAATACTGTTTACATGCAGACTGTGTGTCCACAGACTTATAACACAAAACACAAGCTTAAGTAAGGAGACATGTTTACCCTTATGTCAGAGCCTGTGGCCCCATCTATGCTATTCTATATCCTATTCCATTCCATCCCATTCCATCCCAAAGACTGTTGCTGACTCATTAGATTAATTTCAGGACCTGTGGGTTTGACCATAGTTTGGAAGCCCTTGCTTTTATTAAACATCGGTTTAATGTTTCCTTCACGTCTTGCATTTGGAGGATGTTGAACTCGGATAATTACGTGCAACCTTCAGTTCCAAAGAAAGGGTATTTTTATTATTTTGACGTTTCTGCTTTTCAGGGCCAAAACCAGTTCCAGCAACTTGACTTGCATATTCCGTGTGGATTCACTCAGGTCTCCCGTGCCTCCTCTTGGGAATGCTACTGGTTGGACTTGTGAAGAGAATTGTGTGGGAAGTTGGGGGGTAGGTTGTGAAGCTGGGCTGGTGGTTGTTCAGATGCGGAGATGTGGAGACAATTTATTGGGGAGAGAAATGATTAAAGTTGAAATTTAAAAGATTATCTTGTGGGCACTGTGTAGGGAAGGAGCCCCGGTGGCTTAATGGTTAAGCGCTCGGCTGCTAACCAGAAGGTTGGTGGTTCGAACCCACCCAGTGGCTCTGTGGGAGAAAAGACCTGGCGATCAGCTTCCGTAAAGATTACAGCCTAGAAAACCCTAGGGGGCAGTTCTACTCTGTCATACAGGGGTGCCACCTAACAAGAAGAACGACTGTGTGGCAGAATTGGAGTGGCTGGCGCTGAAGGAGAGCAGGCCATTAAGAAGGTCTGAGCAGGGGCTGAAGAGGAGGTGGTGAGGATGAAGTTCTGAGGTGACGGGAGAGGAAAGGCGGAAGATGAGCTCGCTCAGGCCGAGCAGGAGCAGCGTCTGGAGGATGTCTTAGGCTGAGCTACCAGTTGCCATCGGCTTTAAGTCATGGCGACCCCATGTGTGTCAGAGTAAAACTGTGCTCCATGGAGTTTTTTCAGTGGCTGATTTTTTGGAAGTAGATCACCACACCTTTCTTCCCAGGCGCTCTCCAGACCCTCTGAGTCAGAATTTTGAATGTGAAATCCAGGAGTCTGCGTTTTTATCAAGCAAGCAAGGTAATTCTTCTGTAGACTAGAATTACACACATAAATAATTGAAAGAAAAGTTTCACGAAAACTATACTTACGCTCATTTTGCAGAATCACTCCTTGCTATTGAATTTCCTTTTTTAAACGCCCGTCTTAAGCAGGGCTTCTCAACCTGGGTGCTTTGGGCATCTTGGACCGGCTTACTCTCTGTTGTGGGGACTGTCCCTGTGCATTGTAGGACACTGAGCAGCATCCTTGGCCTCTGCCCACCCAATGCCAGTAGCGCCCCTTCCCCAGTTGTCACAACTAAAATGTCTCCAGACATTGCCAAATGTCCCCTGGGGTGGCACCGTCGCCCACGGTCAAGAACCCCTGGCCTTAAGCTACTAGAGTGATCCCGTGACCACCGATGGATCGCATCCTCCGTTCGAAAGGACGGTTTTAACTGTCAGTGAGGGCTTAGGCTCTGAAGGCAGACCCCTGCGAGGTTTGAAGGCTGGCTCTGTCCCTTACTGGCCTGGCGCTAATCGGTGGAACCTAAGATGAAGCCTTCGGTCTGTCCTCTGTAATATGAAGGAGCAGTAGAGTCTAGCTGACGAGGCTGTTTGGAAAATTAATGCGTGTAAAGTGCTTAGGAGAGTGTCGAGCATGTGTTGTTACTGTTAGGGGCTGTTGAGTTCGCTCCGCCGCCTCGTAGCGACCTCAGATGTAACAGAGCAAAGTGTTGCCCAGTCTGCGCCACCCTCCCAGGAGTAGGTATGTTTCTGCCCATTGTTGCAGCCACTGCGGCAACCCGTTTCTTTTTCACTGACCCTCTACTACATAAACCCAACTAAACTCATTGCTGTAGAGTCGATTCTGACTCATAGTGACCCTATGGGACAGGATAGAGCTGCCACATAGGGTTTCCAAGGCTGTAATCTTTATGGAAGCAGACGGCTACATCTTTGTCCCTGTGGCGTGGCTGCTGGATTTGAACCACCGACCTCTCAGCAGCCGAGCATGTAACTGCTGTGCTGTTAGTGCTCCTTCTCTACTACATTTAATACGGTAAATGTTAAATGACATAATTACAGTCATTTGACTCTTGATGGCTGTGTCAGAGTCCACCTAGGGAAACAGAAACTACTGGAAGATTTCAACTGGGAATTAAGTGCTCACCATGGTGATGGAAGAGCTGAGAAGCCAAACAGGAAGTGGTGAGGCAAGGCGGAGATTAGCAATGGCTAAAAGCTGCTGGCACAGCCTGGCCGGAGGGACAAGGCAGGATGCGCTGCGAAGCTGGAATCGGGGGCTGGGTGGCAGCCGGAGCCCGGGGTGGACCTTGCTGGTGGGGATACCATCCACCAGGCAGGTAGCGGTGGCAGGTAGCGGTGGGAACACCCTCACTTCTCCTGGCCCCCACCCTGCGGTCTCCTGCGGGGCCTGCCATTGGCCAGATTCAGCTGGAAGCAGCTGTGATATGGAGCCTTGATAGATGACGAACTAGACAGTTTGTGCGGAAGGCAGGCCTGGCTCTCTGCTTCTGAAAGGTCACAGCCTTGAAAACCCTATGGAGCAGTTCTGCTGTGTCACGTGGGGTCGCCATGAGTCACCCAACAACAAGAGCCGGTTTGTAGGGCCCACTTAATGCAGCTGCGTGCTGACTCTGAGGGCATGGCTTAGCTCTGTGTGTCGTGCTGAGTGCAGTGAGTCACGGAAGACAAACGTGGTGTGATCTCACTTACGCCAAGTATCTCGATTAGGCCGCTTCACAGAAGCAGAGGATAGATCAGTGGTTTCCAGGGCCTGGGGGAGGACGAATAGGAGTTACTGCTCAAGGGGCACGGGGTTTCTGGCTGGAGTGACGTCAGACTTGGAAGTGGATAGTGACGATGGCGTTTCTGACTCTGAGCACTGTCTGCTCAGGGCCCGAGGAAGGCACACTGGCTCTGGACCAGCCGGGCCTGGGGTCCAGCCTGCCTCTCACTAGCTGTGGGGTCCTGGTCCCTTCAGCCCCTGAGACCTCCATCTCCCCAAGGGTAGAGGGGATAATGGTGACCCTTGGAAGGGCCATCGTTGGGTTACGGTAATGGATGTCAGGGCTGATGCTGTCGGATTTTTGTTCCTGGCATTCAGAGCCAGTGGCTTGAGCACCAGTTCCAAGCGCAGGACAGGGGAGGTGGCTCTGAGCAGGTCACTTTGTGCAGGGCGTGGGCAGGAGGGGCAGGCAGGCTGTTCGCGTGCTCACCCTTCTGCCCAGGCGGCCTCCATTGCTCCTTTTCTCTGTCAACTTCAAAACCTTTTATTTTGAGTTAATTTTAGACTTTAAAAAAAGTTACAAAACCAGTACACAGGATTCTGATCTACCCATCACCCAGCTTCCCCGGATGTTAGCATCTTACCTAAGACAGTGCAGTGGGCAAAACCAGGACATTTACGTTGGTACGTTGCTCTAAACTAAGCTACAGCTCTTGGCCGGCCTCCGCCCGTTCTCCCGATGCCTTTTCTCTCGTCCAGGGTCCGAGTTGCGTCCTGCAGTCTGTAAGAGTTCCTCAGTCTTTCCCTGCCTTAGCCGACCTTGACGCTTCTGAGGAGGGCTGGTCAGGTGTTTTGTAGAATATCCGTCCAGTCAGATTTGTCTGATGTTTGCTCACGATTGGAACGAGGTTGTGCATTTATGGCAGGAAGAGCGCAGAAGTGACAGTTTCCTTCTCAGGGCATCATTTCAGGAGCTCATGGCGCTAATGGGCCTTATTCCTCAGGATATTGACCTTGACCTGGTTAAGGGGGTGTCTGCAGAGTTTCTCCATTGCCGAGTTGTTACCTTTCATAGTTAATGAATATCTCGGGGGTGATGCTTTGAGACTACGCAGGTCCCGCAGCAGGGATTTTTTATAATTTAGTTTTATTGTTGTACTTTAAGTGAAAGTTTACAATTCAAGTTAGTCTCTCATACAAAAATTTACACACATGTTGTTCTGTGACCCTAATTGCTCTCCCTATACTGTGACAGCACACTCCTCCTTTCTACCCCGGATTTCCCGTGTCCATTCAACCGGCTCCTGACCCTCTCTGCCTTCTCATGCCGCGTCTGGACAAGAGCTGCCCATTTAGTCTCATGTATCTACTTGCGCTAAGAAGCACACTCTTCACGAGTATCGTTTTATGTCCCACAGTCCAGTGCAGTCTTTGTCTGAAGAGTTGGCCTCGGGAGTGGTTTTAGTTCTGGGTTAACAGAGGGTCCAGGGGCCATGCTTTCTGGGGTCCTTCCATTCTGTCAGACCATTAAGTTTGGTCTTTTTACTAGAATTTGAGTTTTGCACCCTACTTTTCTCCTGCCCCATCAGGGACTCTCTGTTGCCACAGCAGGGATTTTAATGTACTTGGTTGTATTCATTTCTCTATTCCATTTGTTTTATTTTAG